TATTTTTTTACTATTTTATTCGAATTAGTTAATATATTATATTATTATAGATTTATTTTGATTATATCTTAAAATATTATAATTGATTAATCTTTCAATATCTCATTTTTGATCATTTATATTCTTATCAGCTAGTTTGTCAAACATGATATATTCCTCAACTAGCTTATAAGATTAACAACTTGTTTATCAGTCAATTTATCAAACATAATCTTTTCCTAAATATAAAAGTTAGGGGTTCAATCGGAACCCCTTAACTCTTGTTAATCTCAGAAATTGAGAGAATGATCATCAGGGACGGATCCAAATTTTTTTTTTGAAACGGTGACATCATTTAACTATAAGAAAAAAGTATAGGGAAAAAAATTCAAACAGTAACACCGTTCGACTTTAAAACAAATATACGGAATTTTTTTTCAAACGGTGACACCATTTGACTAAAAAATGACAATAACAGGATTCAAACTTGGGTCTGGGGTGAAATGAAAGCCTTGCAAACCAACTCTACCAAATAAAAACTTGTTTCTCATTATGGTTTCAAAATACATACAGTGACACACAACAAACTAATAGGGTTACACTTTTCACGATCCTAAATTTTTTTACCTTTCGACAAAGGAATAATACACCGTATACACCAGTATAGGTCTGTACCCACTTTTTGTCTAAACAAAAAATGCTAATTTTGTTTTTTTTGTAATTACACGTCAATGGATAGTATCATAAATTTTTACAAACTGACGAAAAAAACAGCAAACGAATGAGATGAAATTACACATGGCAACAGGTATACCACGTGGCATACAACTTCAGCTGACTCGGATAAATTTAGTGATACGTGTAACCTTAAACATGACATGCCAAAAACGCCGCTTTTTTGTAAGATTCCGGCCACCGGTCCGATCATAAAACCACTCCCTCCCTCAGATTCTTTTCACTCGTCCAATCTCTTCGTTAAATTTTTAAAAAAGAAATGGCAGACATACTTGATGAACAGGGCAACCCGGTTCAACTCACCGACGAACTCGGTCGCTCGGTTAAACTCACCGACGAGCGTGGTGTCCCAATACATCTCATCGGTGTCGCCACCCCTGAAGACTCGAGCCCGCTCGGCAGCACGACAACTATCGGTACCAAACCGGAGATGCACGGTGAAACTCACTTCGCTCCGGTGCCTACTGATACCGTTGGTGGTGGTGGAATAGAGACGACTATGCCACCGTTGAGCCACCCGGAGACTGGTGGTGATGAAACCAAAAAGCAGCAACTTGGAAGGGCGGGAAGCTCGAGCTCAAGCTCGGTAAGACAAGCATATTCTTTTGACTATAAGTTTTTAGAGCAAATGAATTGGTTTTATTTTATATACGAAAGATCGTGTGAGAATAGAAGTTATGGTGAAGCGTAAGAAGCCACATGAATCCTCTGTTACTTTTAATCTCATGTTTACTCATTAATTACGTTTTAGATGGGAATTGATCCGATGTACCTCGGTTCACCTTATTAGTATGAACATTCAATTATGATTGATCTAATAGTGGAGATATTATCTTACGTTTTTCCCAGTTGTGGATCCAGATTTTTGTCTAGTGGGGTCAAATTTAAGATAGACCGAAGGCGTGCAAAGTCGTCCAACGTATTTTTAGCCTAATTACATCATTTTCGAGGGATTCTTCAAGTTTTTTGTTTATGTCAAGAGATTTTTTAGAGTTTTTCTCGACTTAGAAGAACTTTTTTTTATTAACCTGGATATCTAACCCGTTACGCGAGCCGATTAATCCCAGGGCGACCACCTGTTTTGCAGGTAGCCCGGAATCACCGCATTTAAACCTTCATAGGGGATTTTTATTTCTCTTAAGATTTGAATCTGGGATCTCTTGGTACTTTTTGACCTTTGGAGCTAAGCTCAAACCAATCAAGCGTCACTAACTTAGAAGAACTTTTTCAGTAGTGTTTGGTAGACTCACGTACACGACTAACGATGTAGTGGTGTTGTGTAGTCGGAGGACGACGGTGAAGGAGGGAGGAGGAAGAAGAAAGGGTTGATGCAGAAGATCAAAGAAAAGCTTCCCGGTCATAAAAGCAAGGAGGACGAAGTTCCGGCCAAGGTGTACACCGCGACTACGAAAGTAAGCGTGACGACACCGGCCGGGCCGGCAGATCAACCGAAACCGGAGTTCATAAAGGTGGAGCACCACGAGGAGGAGCACGAAAAGAAGGGTTTCATGGATAAGATAATGGATAAACTCCCCGGCCACCATGCTCGCTAGCTTCGTGTCAACTCCTCTGCCAAGCACCACCGTATCCGTTTGCGTTGATCGGTGGCGCTTACCACCGTATCCGTTTGCGTTGATCGGTGGTGCTTACCGTTGATTATGTTCTTTTGTGTTCATATCAAATGGGTGTTTACTAGTTGTGTTTTTTTTGTATGGGATCTTTATATGAAAAGAGAAGTAGGAATGTAAATAGTGAATAAATATTTCGATATGTTTAGGGGTAATTAAATGTTTTATTAAATTATGTATCAAATCAGATTTACACTTACCGGGATAAGCGTTTATAAAGTTATATTACCTCATCGGATGAATATGGTAAGTACCAAGAAGGGCGACGACTCTTACCATGATAAGTGTTTACCGGGTAAATTATTGCATACGATGTTGTTTTGGTGAATTAAAATCTTATCCAGTAAATAAATAATAAAGTGATATTTTTCTGGGTAAGTGTTTGGTAAACAATTCCTACCCTTAAATAGAATCGTTCTAACAAATATAGATCAAATATAGCGTAAAGAATCATTCTAACGAGCATGGTTTTTTTTTTTTCCAGCTGTCGTAATTTCTAATAGGATTGTATAAAACCTTCATAGCCAGGGACACACGTTCAGGGTTCAAAAATATCAGGATTTAAATTTTTCTCTTAAAATACAATAATAGTCAAAAAGAATTTAATGAATTAAAGAAATCCAAAAAATTTGTAGCATATAATAAGAGGCAAAAAGGATTTAATAGATAATAAGGGCTCAAAAATATATCAACTAATTATATTGGAGAAGAAAAAAAAAGTTAATTGGTCATTTATTATATGTTATTGTTTATTGTCTCTTTAATTTTTTTTTATCTCCAACAAGGTCTAATGATATTAGCTATTGCTATTTCTATATGCTTGATTGTTTTCGTGTTTCAACAATTCAACGTTAAGATCATGTGCTTACTATTGCTATATATTTTTGTTGGATATTTTTATCAATTGTTGTTTTTATTGACTATTGTTATTTGGTTATATTGTTCTAATTGTTTTTGTTGATTATTGTTATCTATTTTTGTTTCTACATAAAATATTTTATTATTGTTTGACAATCAATCTATTATTCTTATAATTTATGATGTGTTTCATGGTTTTGTGATTAATCAATAAATTTTTTCTACTAGATGTATTTAGTAATGTCTCTTATATATATATATATATATATATATATATATATATCATGTTTCATAAACTTTAAATCTTAACATCTTATTTTAGTTGAACAAAAAAAAGAAGAAAGATAGAATTTAAATATTTTCATCAATTGTTTGACTTTGTAACTTTCATTGCAATTCCAACACACCACAAGATTCTATTTAAGTGCTCAAACAATAATTTGTTGAACTTACATATTATATGTTTAATCCATTATTTATTCTTATCGGATCTCAATGGAATCATTTTTTATTTCATATTCTTATTATTCTCATTTGTATATTTGTCTAGAAAACCTTGATAATTTTATTTATTATTGATCTCTCATTGACCCTCACGATTACTTTATTCACACGAATTCTCTTTTTGTATCAAAATAACACATTTCTTGTTATGAACTAAAAAAATTCTTATTTTTTGTAAAAATTTATCAACCATAATTTCTATACTGCTAGTTTCAAATTATCTAATAAGAAGTACGTAAATTTAAGTACCCTCTTATATATCTATAATAAATATAAAAAGATTTATTTCCTCAGTAAATTATTAGCATTTCTTGTACTCAACTTTATACTAATGAAAAACATTTATTGATTTTTTTCCATATTACTACAAGAAAGTTGAACTTTGACGATGTGTCTTTTAACGATGACATGTTTCCACCACAAATTATAGCAACGACATATTGTTATATATCCTTTCTGATGATAAATCGACTTTTAACGACAACAAAAGTCGTTACTAAAAAACTTTGTTTCTTGCAGTGAACCATGTTTTTATGTTCGCCCAGAACCTATAAAAACAATAGGAACGGGCATGTTCATAACAAAATGTAATCGGTTACACAATTGTGCAACACTATCTCTTTTGATTCATGGTCTCTGTACCGATTGCATTTTGCCACTAAGGTTTTATACAACCCTATTAAAGTTGTAGTACATGATTTTTACACTTGAAACTCTACCGTAAAGACAACGTTCATAATGTTTTTGTTGTGAATGTTCGACTTTTTTTTACTTAATAATATTTTGTTATAAAATTTCAAGTGTAAAAATCATGTCTCAAAAAAGAGTCTTTGTCTCACGTTAACCCACCCTCGTATGTATATATATTTACTACCTCTTTGTAAAAATTTTATGCTTTCTGAATTTAAAATTTAAGTATACAATCCAACGGTCCACCAATAACCTCCATCTTCACTCCCTTCCCTGCTACTCCCTCTACCTCCATGAGAGAGCGCTCTTGAAACTCTGCTTCTTTCTTCCTGCCATAAAAATGCTCTCTCAATCTCACTTTCTCTCTCTAAGCTCTGCTTCTCGTTCCCCTCTCTCTCCAAATTTTAGGGCTTCCAGTTCTGCATCATCATTGTCGTCACCATCATCAACCTTAGCTTTGGCTAAATCTCCCCGAATCATCTCGATGACTGCAACGAGGTCCTCACTCTCGAATGGAATTGCTGCTGTTACGGGCTCTGAGCATGCCGATTCTGAACTTGATCACTTCGCCGATATTGCCAACAAATTAGCCGACGCCGCCGGCGATGTCATCCGCAAATATTTCCGCAAGAGATTTGACATCCTCGATAAAGAAGATTTAAGTCAGTTTCTTTTTTCATATTATATCTGAAAGTTTGTAAGTCGATTTAGTTCTAATTTAATCTATCGGCCCAAAATTATTTTGCATTTTAGGGTAAACCAATCGCCTTCGATCATATTGATCTCTTTAAGAAAATTCTTATTGACTAACATTCCTTAAAACCTTAATGGATTCTTAATGTTTTCTGGAATTTCGAAGCATGTGGATCAATTTTAGAGCCGAAAATTAGTGCGTTGGATCAAAAGTCAACCCTAGATTGAAGAACTAATTGTAACTACATATGTTCTTATATATGTCTTTTATTGTTTGCTATAATTATTTTAAGGTCCGGTGACAATAGCTGATAGAGCTGCAGAGGAAGCAATGATTTTGATTATACAAGAGAATTTGCCTTCTCATGCAATGTAAGTTACCATAATTCGCAATTACGTTTCATTTCTCATAGATTAGATGAATACTGAGGGAATACTGACGGAAGCATTCTAGTGATTTTGACAATACTGAGAGGGTTTGCCTTCTCATGCAATGTGAATTAGATGGTTTGAATCCTCAATTTTGCTTTACTCCTAATAGATTATAGGTATACTGAAGGAAGTATAGTTTTTGGTTTCTGATTCTTAATAGTGGAAAGATTTAATGAAGAGATAAGCACTCAGTTAAATAGTTATCGTCCATCACCTTCTTTTAATGTTTTGTTTGGTTTAAGAACAATTTCAGCATGGAGCTTTTTCCATATTGGTTCTTCTCATTGAGCAATTTATGTTCAAGTGAGTGATTCAGACCTTTATTTTTCTTTGCTGGCAATATACTTTTAAAGTATTACGATGTAATCATTTGAACTAAGCATACTCAAATGGCTGAGGTTTATTGGTTGGTGTTTTCACTGGAGCTTCATATTGAGCAATATTGGCATGGAGACATTGAAATCGTACTCTTTTTTCATGCTGGTTCTTCATATTGAGCAATTTATGCTCGAGTGATTGATTTAACTAGTGATTTAGAAGTTTATTTGGCTTTAACCGGCAATGTATTTTTAATGTGAACTAAGTTTACTCAAGTGGTGGAGGCTTATTGATTGATGTTTTTACTGGAGTTTTTTCTGTAGGGGTTGTAGGGGTTAGGGAATTAGGCCGTGGCAGATTGTACAGGGTCAACAGCAATCTTTTTTAGTTCTTCTTTCTTTGCAATTTAAGACTGCTAGAAAAATAAATCAGAGTAATTTATATCTGCTTATATATGGATATCCTCCATGTATTCCTTCTTCCTGTTTATATAGTTATAGGAAACAACTTAAACAATTGCAGTTATGGGGAAGAGAATGGTTGGCAGTGTAAAGAGAAATCTGCTGATTATGTGTGGGTTTTAGATCCAATTGATGGGACAAAGAGTTTTATTACAGGTACCATTTTGCTATATCTCTTACAAAATTTTAGGCCATCTATTCTTAGGGGAGAATTAAAGTGGCTACTTTTGTTGTACTCAGGCAAACCCTTGTTTGGCACCCTCATTGCTTTACTGGACAGAGGTAAACCGGTATGAATAATTATCATCCCTCAGATGGCATGTGAATAACCTACTTCAAATCATGAAAAGTCAGTCATACCGTTTCTATTTTGTTACCAGAACCTAAAACTAGAGAAAATTTTGAATAACATACAATGTAAAGTCTGTCTTTTTGTAACCTTCATTGCAGCCAAATTAGACAGAAAGACGCCTCTTAATCTACTAGTAATATAATTTTGTTGTAACTGCTGCAACATACCTCCTATAATTTAGGAGTATGAAGAAGGTCCTTCATTTGTACTTGTCCTCCTGAACCTCTTTAGGACTGAAAAACTTGACACCCTATTATCCAAATTTGTTATTCAGATGACACGAATAAATGCGGCCTATCCTGAAGTTTAATGGTACACCTATGCTTGTAGTTGTCCTCCTGTGCCTCTTTAGGACTGAAACTTAAACTACCTATTCTCCAAGTTTATATTCAGATGACACCGATAAACGTGACCTATCCTGATGCTTAAGGGCTAGGTATATGTAATAAACACAATTATATGGAAGGATAAACTCCATGTCACCTTATAAAGAAATTGAGAAACTCCAAGGTAACTTCCTTGTAATAAGTTCAAAACAGTCATTATAGTATATTATATTTCTTTTGCCAGGATATGAACTTCTGAACTTCTTTCGAAGCCTGTACAACAGTTGATGTGGCCAACTGCAAAGCAAAGAGATAATAGATAGGGGTTATTTAGTTAAATGACTTCCGGACAATTGTTTTTAAATCCATGACCTCCTGACAGGTTTCTAGGCATTCTTGTGTATGGAAAATGACATTCTTTTGTTGGAAGTGGCATTCTCAAACCTATATGAAGGTCATGGATTTTTTAAAAAAAACTGTCAGAAGGTCATGGATTTAAAGAAATTTCATGTCAGAAGGTTATGGATTTAAAAAGAAAACCTGTCAGAAGGTCATTTAACCAAAGGACCCGAGATAATAGTTGTGTGCATGTTTGATTTCTACCTGTGTTATTGATAGTTTATTGCTTGATATCAGATTCTTGGCATAATTGATCAGCCTGTTTTACGAGAACGATGGGTTGGTATAACTGGAAGAACCACTAGACTAAATGGAGAAGAAGTATCCACTCGCAGCTGTTCAGAGCTTTCACAAGCATATCTGTACGAATTATTCCCTGATGTCTTTTTAGTTGAAAATCGAAAATGTTTCATTGTCTCCATGCAATTTTAACTTCCCATTCAGCACATATAAACTGCTTTTTTTCTTATATATTACCTTTTTTACTTAGGTATACAACTAGTCCACATCTATTTAGTGCAGATGCCGAAGTGGCCTTTGCTAGAGTGAGAGATAAGGTTTGTTAATTTGCTTCTATTAATAGGCAATTGATTTCATTTTCTCAACATGAACGCCTGTGTTTGTTACTTGCATTTGCCTGCATCAGTTACTTTTGTGGTAAAGCGAAGTAGAGTTGAAATCTGACTAGCTAATCAAGTTCTTAAAATACATATATATGTTCTTAAGGAGCTTATGTGTGTTTGCACAATAGTTTCTACACTCGTGCATGTGATTCCATACATGTCGTTGGAATACATTAGGTATGTGATCATGAGTGCAGTCAAGCATTGTTTTTTACGGGTCGATATGGTACACGGACAGGTCTGGACTGGACTAGACAAAACTATATTGGTGAGAGTGAGGTAGGTGGGTGAAAGATTCGTGAAAGGTTTTTCTTTGACATGGGTAGTTTAGTACTTTACTTATCTTATATCATCTCCCTGATTTTTGTTCCAACTAATTTGGTGGGACAAAAAACCTGCATTTTTGTCCCGCTCAGTGCTGTTCTATACTGTCACAGTCTGATTGTCATGCTAAAGATGAGACAACTTTTTCTTGTCATGTCCCGTGTACCAAAAGCACCCTACGTGTATACATGCTCTCATATAAGTACATTGAAGATGGGCCATTTTACATCCTTTATGCAGCTTATTCATGAAGCACATACATATGTCATCCTTGTGAATTGGACATTTCAACCTGGCTGCTCTGTGTTTGTATATTTGCTTCTAAACCTGTTTCTTTCAGTTGGTTGTCCTATCTTTCTGTTTTCCTTTCCTTTTTCTGAACAATATAATTCCAAGGTATTTTAATTTATGCTCATTTAAATATTTATGATTCACAGGTAAAAATACCGCTATATGGATGCGACTGTTATGCATATGCACTTCTGGCCTCTGGGCACGTTGATCTTGTAGTCGAGTCTGGTCTAAAGGTGAGGTCGTCTTCACTTTCATCATCGCTAAATTCATCAAATAAAGCATATGGTTTCCTCAAGTTGATTTGTATTTGTATGAACTGAGACAAGTTAAAAGATGTAAAGACCGGAGATGGTACATTTAAATATTACCAAAGGGTCATTGACCCAACGGTGCCCCGGGTTACTAGTAGAACCCACCCCCCCACGAGGTCAAGGGTTTAAACCTCACCAAAAGTGAGGTGTATTTGCCATATATAAATATTACATACTTTCAAATAAAATTTGGTTGAGTATTTAATATAGCAAATTTTCAGCCATACGATTTCCTTTCGCTGATACCGGTGATAGAAGGAGCTGGTGGAGTAATAACTGATTGGAAAGGAAACCACCTTTCCTGGGAGGCTTCTTCCAACTCACAACCAACAAGTAATATTCCCATCGACTCGTTTCTTAATTGCATTTTTCCTTTTTGTAATATGATGAAAAACGCACACGATGCCTCTTGCTAGACCCACAACCCCGACCTCAGGGCGGACCTAGTTTAGGATATACGGTGGCCTGTGCTACCAATTGCATTGTCCCGACTTAGTGGAGGTGTCACGGTTTCGGTTAAATGAAACCAAATAAATGTGTTGAGCAATGGTAAGAGTACTCTTCACTTGATGAACAGAATTTGTTTCTTTCAGAGTAAATTATGTTTTTAATCTCTATAGTTCGTTGAAAATTGCTATTTTTGTCCTTATGCTTTACTCCCACCATTCCAAAATTATTGTCTACATTACTATTTTAATTTGTCCCAAAATAAGTGTCCACTAACAAAAGTAAATCTCCACTTTCCTACTCTACCCTTAATCACGAGATGGAGAAAATTTTGTGTCTATAACTGAGGGTAAAATTGTCCTTTTGTTAATTAAATGGTGTAATAATCGCACTATCTAGAATTGTGTGTATTTTTATTATGGACATTTATTTTGGGATGGAGGGAGTATAATTTATTGTTGTTTTCATCCTTATGGTTTATAATTTATTGTTGTTTTAGTCCCTCATACTTAAAGATAGTAGTTAGCCTCACTCCTATCAGGGATGAAAATAACAATGACTTGCAAATCACAGGAAGGAAAACTGAAATTTCAAAACCATAGGGATGAAAGTCGCATTGTTAAGAAAATAGGGGACGAAAAACATAATTTACTCCTTTTTTAAATTATAATAAGAAGCTCTCCAAACCTCGACCATCAACTCATCAATGAATTAGCTGGTCCAACCTAGCAGTTGTTTGATAGTTGCTGAATGGTTTGGTGTAGAATGATTAAGATTTTTCATGATACAGTGAAAAATGAAATATAATTGCTTGGTAATTGTTTACAATAAAATTAGGGTTTTGAATGGTTAAGGGAGGCTCATGATACAAAATCATTCAGAGGGTTTTAGAACCGTTAAGAGACGGACTTTTTTTTGCCAAACAAGATTCACCTCTTAATAATTCAGATATTGTCTCTTAATGAAACTATTAAGAGGTAAACAAACAACCCCTAGTTTGCTTATTATTCATCAATGAATTAGCTGGTCTAACCTAGTTTGCTTATTTTCCTACTGTTCCGTACTGTAAATTTTTAACTGTAATTAAGATTTTATATCACGGTAATTAAATTATTCACCCTGTGGTTGATGAGGTGCAGCAGATACTCTTTCACTTATGTTCGATTTCATTTGATTTAGGTTTTAACGTAGTGGCAGCTGGGGACAAACAACTTCACAAACAAACCTTGGATTGTTTAGAGTGGCAGTAACTTTCAATATTTTACTCTCCCTTTCATTGTTTTGAATGCCAGTAACTTTCAATATTTTACTCTCCCTTTCATTGTTTTGAGTGCCAGTAACTTTCAACATTTTTTTACTCATGGCTGCATTGGTATTTAACATTTTTGTGTGTAATGGGCAAGTTGCATGTTCTGTGAGTTGAATTTTACTTCAATTTGAAACAAAATCATATTTACATATGCCACTGATGCTTATAATTTATGTATAAACCAGAAGGGTACTCATGTAATGCAACAAGATATACCTCTATCTTAATGTTTCATTTTATTCATTTTCTCTGTCGATATAATACAGTTTTACATGATTTTAGAAAACGATAATATTTTTATTTTTGAACGAAATATAAATTTGAAGAAAAAAAATGTATCGATATTAGTATTGAATTAACTATTTAAAAATTCTAGTTTTCTGTGTAATTTCTTTAATTCAGTTTTTTATTATAATTTAATTTAGATTTAATAATAAAATAATTTTTATAAGGATGATAATTAAGTCTTCTATTAAAATTCAATGATTATCTTAATTATATTTTAATTTTTTATATTTAAAATAAGATGTTCATCTTGTATTTGATTATGTTTATATGCAACAATTAGTTATACGAATTGAAAAATAAAGCTTTAATAAATTATATTAATGTACAATTTACTATAATATTGAATTTTAAGTAATATTCATCTATATATATATATATATATAACCATATTCCTCTTTTTAGTCAATTCCACGTCACTCTCATGAATAACCTGATGATATTTCCGAGGAAATGAGCTTTTGCCAGTGAATTGAGATCGGTCCAAGATTAGCAAAGATGCGCATTATTAGTTTATTACCGCTACCTACTACTAGAGATGGAAATTATTTTAAAATACACATTTTTTTTTATTAACCGGATATCCAACCCGCTATACGAGTCGACTAATCTCAACACAACCAACTGCTTTGCAAATAGCCCGAAGTCACCGCATTTGAACCTTCGTGGCCACAAAGGAAAATACACTCTCTTACATTTACAATACATGATTTGACTTGATTCTGATTTAAAAAAGGGTACATATATCACTACCCATTGTAAATTAGTCATTCGTGTTGATTAGAATCTGATATAAGAGTGTTGTGAGTTCTGGACATGTAATTACCAAAAAAAATGCAATGATCAATTGATCTATATATGATCATTAGTTGCGTATTCAGTCCGTCTTCAGATTCGATAAAACAGCCACAATTGCCCAAGTCTCAACTATGATTTCCTTCACAATCGCATGCATTTAAATAATACACAGTTACCAAACATTAGCAAATGATAATTCCAAAAACCAAACACCAACGGCAGCCCCCGTATCCAAGAACAAACTCCTATTTCGTTTTTCGTGTTTGATCATCCTTCTTACTCTTTCCCGAAATCAGCATTGTAATGGGCACTTGACTCGAGCTTCTTGGCCTCATTCAATTTCCGGACGGCCTGAAAACATTTTTTTAACCAAAAACTCTTAATCCCAACTGATGTCATATGAATACACGACCAAGTCGCCTTTATTTCGCCAAAATCCTATCAACTTCAGGTTGTGAATTTTACCATGTGTTTATGAACGAGAATTCGTTTGATTTATTATGTGTCTCCGTTGGTAAATTTATCGCTTATTCATATGATTTGGTCATACATTTTCAAGATTAAATGGATGTCGTTTTTTGGGCACTTATATAGGGTCTAAAATAGGCAAAGGATCAATGTGACAAGGAGAGTTAAGGTGAGAACTGCAAGAAAGAATCTGAACCCTTTAACACCTTTAATCTCAAACCCATCCATGATTAATCCAATGCACCGCATCGTAATGTGCATCCAAAGGTAGGAATCCCTTCTTACGCTTCTCACCTCAACTCTCCTTCTCACCGGAACCCAACCCCTATAATTGATAGGCAGTAGAGGAGCATAAATTTAAATTTTAGATATACCCATCAAAATAGAAAATATAAGTGTCCATGTATTTATTTTAGTTTGTACCAAAATAAATGTCCACTTCTGTAAAATACTAGTCTACTTTCCAATTCTACCCCTATATACGAGATGGAGAAATTCAATACTCTTAAACAGGTGAAACAAGCTGACTACTACTCTTCGATCCTAGAAGCTCAAATAATCGGGTTTTGGTTCCCTCTTGTTTCAGACCATCAAGGACCAAAAGTTTGTGGGATCCAAATTTTTTTGGCTGGAGCATTCTTATGTACAATAGATCCCTTGACTAGGTATAGCTCTTGGGGTGCGTTTGGTACTCGGATGATATCGGGCGTGACATAACTGGACTAGAAGGGCAAGAGTGAAGCAGGAGGCTGAAAGAATTGTGGATGTTTTTTAGGGTTTTAATTTGACGTGGGTAGTTTAGTAATTTACCAATCTTATCTCATCTCCCTAGTTTTTGTTACACCTATTATGGTGGGAGAAAAAGGTGCATTTTCGTCCCACTCAATCCCATCCTATTCCAGTCTAATGTTGTGCCAAATGTGGGACGACAACTTTTTGTTCTATCCTATCCTACCTGTCCCACATACCAATTGCACCCTTAGTATTGATTCTATAGACACGTATGCTCAGGCAGCAGCTTGTAACCACAAATAAACAAGTTATAACCAAAATTACCTTCATGAAATCTTCATGGATAACATAATCCCGTTCAGCACGAATGGCGGACATACCAGCTTCAGTGCAGACATTACGAAGATCAGCTCCATTAAACCCCTGAAGTAAATATCATATTATCATGGATAACATTTCAGCAAATTCTCAAGTAAAAGTAAGGTATGGAGGTCAGAATTCAACCAATTTTACCTCAGCAAGCTTGACAACTGCCTCATAATCAATTTCACCGTGTTTAGCAATCCCGGCAGCATGGATTTTAAGGATTTCCATTCTTGACTGTTCATTCGGTAGTGGGATCTCTATTTTCCTATCTAGTCGACCTGGACGAAGAAGAGCTGGGTCCAGAACATCAGGTCTGTTTGTAGCCATTATCATTTTTACCTGACAGATATCAATTAGATCATTAAGCTATTTTTCTCTATAAATTAACCTAATTACTAGAAATCAAGTTAACGAATACTCCCTCCGTCCCTATTTTAGTTTGTCCCAGAATAAGTGTCTACTTTCCAATTCTACCCTTAATTAATGAGATGATGTTCATTATTCCCTTTATTATCAAGGGATTGTCATTTAGTTAACTAAAAAGTGTAATAATTACATATTTCCAAAACTCTAGCCTTTTTAATTATCGACATTGAGGGAGTATTTGGTATTAAAATTGAGACCATTGTTATCCGGTAAAATCCTAAAATTCTTAATGCTTAAATATCATTTTGAAGCTGTCTGATAACAGCTTTGTTAATCAGGAAAATAGAGCAAGAATTTGAGACTGCAATTGTTTCAAACCTTCCCAAGCTGATCAAATCCATCAAGCTGATTGAGCAACTCCATTAGTGTTCTTTGAATTTCACGGTCAGCACTAGTTCCCTCGCTGAAACGACGTCCCCCAATGGCATCAATCTCGTCCATAAATATGATGCATGGCTTAAATAATCAATAAACAAACATAAAAACACTTGTTAAGAATGTAATCGAGGGAGTGTTGTAGTATTCAAAAATGGCAAGTAATAGAGAGGTATAAGACTTGAAGCAGTACTTGGTGATCACGAGCATAACCAAACATTTCCCTAATCAGTCTTGCACTCTCGCCAATGTACTTATCAATGATAGCACTTGACACGACCTGTAAAGTTTTGCCTAGATGTTAGACTAGCATAGGTTACACCCAATTTGAGAACATGAGAAAGAATTATAGAACTAAAGAGGGTAAATCAAATGAAAACCACAAATATGTTACAAACTTCCTTACCCGATTTCATGCGTTGTTTCATATATGGAACAACATGTGAAACATGTAGTGTTCATACAGTGCCATTTCATATATGAAACATTCAGGACCATTTTGCGGGTGAACACGAAAATCCGTTTCATATATGAAACACACACACATACGCACACAAGAACAAAATATATGAAACAATATGAATCATAGCTTAAAATTGAACTCATTGAATGGTTGGGATTGGTTTTCTCACGGAGTTGTAACATATTTACGAGTTGCATTGATTTTCATTCAATTTGAGAGCATGAGAAAGAATTATAGAACAAAAAATACCTTCAAGAAATTAGCATCTATATTGCTAGCAATTGCTCTAGCTAGTAATGTCTTGCCAGTACCAGGAGGTCCATAGAGAAGTACACCCTACAAGAGAAAATTGCCAGATTCAGCAAGTAGGTTTGTAAATTTCATGATAGTGCCAAGGAATTCTCAAAATTCAGAACGTTTCAAATTGAACAATTGTTACCTTGGGTGGCTTGATGCCCACTCTTAGGAAGAGCTCAGGATTCATCAGAGGCAACTCTATGGATTCCCTAAGCTCTCGGATCTGATCTGATAGCCCACCGACTGCAGAGTAGCTAACATTTCCAGGATCTTCATGCAACATATTATAAACAACTGGATCAACCTTCAAAATATTACAGAAGTGTCGGTCAAAACAAAAAAGTGGTGCACAAACATTACTTCAAAGAATGAAATCCATGAAAACGGAACACTTTTTCTAGCACATAAACTAACTTCACGAGGGAGTGCTCGCATAATAGTCAGTGTTGTCATGTCAAGAACCACTCTAGTTCCAGCAGTAAGTTTTTCCTTGTCCACTTTACTGCGGCATCCAACCACATACCTGGGACCACTACTGGCTTTAACTATCACTGCAATATTATAAATGAGATATATTAGTTTAAAATTGTCTCCAAGTTCCAAAACAATATGATATGATTATCAAATATGAAAAGCACAAGGTACTTCATGTTTTTTATCATCTAATTCAAACATTACCCTACATTGTTTTGTCATTATCTACTTCAACTCTAGAATGTTAGAAGAAACTAAAACTCAAATAAGTACAATGTTTGAATCAAAATAAAAAGAGAATATATGAGAAATTAGTTACATCTTTCATTGTCCAGAGGCCTTAGCACTTCGCCAATTATCTGTCCAACACTTTGAAGGGACTTCAAATCATCTTCTGTTTTGGCATAATCCTTCTTCGTACTTCGCAAAGTCTCTCTCACTGTATACATACATCTTAATATAGTTACTATAGCATTGAAAGCTCACATAAAATTTCACATTTCACAAAAGTGAGAATATTTCTGTAGATGAAAACAGAAGAGAGAATATTCAAGTGAAATGAAGAAGACATAAAAATCATATAACAAAAGCAACCATTTACATACAGAAACTGGCTGGCTCAAACTAGAGGCCTTGTAAACCTAGAAAATGCTAACCTACGACCTGCCAATGGATTTACCCATAACCATTTTTGAAAGATGATAATTTTTACGTGTGCTACTACTTTTTCCAAAATTTGGTGTAAATAACCTAGAAAAGAAAGAACTGCAAAGCAACAAATATCTCCAGGAAGTATAAAGGAAAAGAAAAAAAAAGTAGAGAAAAGATTCAAAAGAATTGAAAGATAAGAGATAGTCACAGCCAGGTAAAAAAATGACTACTTGAGAGAAAATTCCCAAGTAGTCAACCAAATGACCAATTCCATCATGAAGTCGAATCACCCAGAGAAAACGTAATGGCACCTAATTAGACAATGATTTCATATATAAATTCACATATGAGAGGGCAAGAAATAGTAGCTATGGCACAAATCATATTTTAAGTAGAAAGTATTACAATATGTAAAGATAATGAGGAATTTCATACACAAAAGATTTCTTTCCAAACAAGAACTAGATAGGGTAGTATTATGAATTTGTATCAGGAAACTGAGGACAATTGGTTAATGGAATAAAAGCATACAGCAACATAGAGTAACCGACCCACAAACTCAAAGGTAATAATTCTTAATCAAGAGGTACAGCTACCAACATATTTATACTAATAAAGAAACTTAATGAGGTATGTTCTAGATACCAACCTATCATCCCACACGAAAAAATGCAAAAAATTATGTAGACTCCTTAACATGGTTTGGTCATTACTCTATGGTAGTGCCAAGTGCTACTTTAGCTACAAACAATCACCATGCCTACAAGGAGAACTGTGCACAAGTCATTAGGCTCAAAACCACAAGGGTGGTGCCTGATTGGTTTGAGCTTGGGCTCCAAAGGTCAAAAGTGCCCGGAGGTCGCAGGTTCAAATCCAAGGAGGAATAAAAATCCCCTTGTGGCCACGGAGGTTCAAATGAGGTGACTCCGGGCTACCCGCAAAGCAGGTGATCGCCTTGGGATTAGTCGGCTCGCATAGCGGGTTGGATATCCAGGTTAATCAAAAAAAAGTACCAATCCATCTAAACTTTGATGGCTACCAAGGAGCTTTTTTTAAATAACAGCTCGTCATGCAATAGTTTGTCAATTACAGTTCAGAAACTCTGTATAGAAAAGAGGGCTGTATAATAGTACAACAGTTAAGTGAGCAGTCTGCTGCTACCAATCAATCACTGATGGGTGCTCACAAAGAGATCGCTCTCAATGTTAATTGGAAAGAAAGTATCCTAATAGACCAATGTAGAATGAAGTGGTTGTCCTCTTTATGATATGCTATCCCCCTTTAGCCAGATTCCAGCATTACTGTGATCAAGAGGAATTGCTAAGGTCCATCCTTTCCCTAAGTTAAGAGTGTTGGAGATTTTAGTGTCACCGTTTTCATTTGGTGTAATGGGTAAATATACGAGAGCTAAAGGGCATCTTTACTTAGTTTTTTATGCAAGTTAGGTGCGGAGCGCACACTTGTATACAACTAGATTGATCCCGGTACGACGAAAAGGTGGGGGTCAAGGAGGCCGCGCCCCCCTTGCTCCTTCTTGGATTATCCCATATTCAGAATTTCGTGCAACCCAAGGCTTTAGGGTCGAAATATCTGATTGGGAAAGTGATATACACGATCCAAGCAAGAATCCAAGCAATTGTGATTTCAGAAAACCACCCTATTGTTCATCTACCCTAACTAAGAGTAAAGAATGGAGGTCATCCGTATATGCGTTCAGGTCGAACCGAAGGTCCATACATAGCTAGAACTGAATGCGTAAAGGATGCAAAAACATCTAGTAATGTCTTGCCCAAAGTGGCAAAGTTACCTACAACACCAACAGTTTTTTTAGGTACACCTACTATTCTTTATTGAAATAGCATGAAATATGACCAATAAACAGCATCAAGACCTCAATCTTTGCTGCAATTGTAGCTCACTCTCAATGGCATCGACCAACGGTATTCAAGTACAAAATGTTGTATATACCAAGATGTAAAGATCAGATGCTGCAGTTTAACAAAGTCACGACTTGTATGCAACATAAACGGTCAATTTTTCAAATTTTCATTGATTGCTTCAAGCAATGAACTCTCACATCTCACTAGCTTTGACACCGCACTTGAAATTTTGAATAATAAACAAGAACAACAAAGAAGAAAGAGAAACGTTTACGCTTACCTAACTTCCAATAAAGCAATAAATCATCCAATTGTCTATTTTTACAATAGATAAACTATAAAAACGCAAGATGAAACAGTATAAAGGGTGTAGATTAGCATACTTCAAAGTTCTAACCCTAAATTAGATAAATGCACAAAAAAATAATCGAAATATAAAACAAAATTCTCAAATTAAGCATTTCAGAGAAACTTATGTAACTATAAGACCCTAGTCCGACTGAATCACGTACACTACATGTTTAGATAAAATTAGGATTCTTGTTCAGATTAGTGTGGAGGAGTCTGACCTCCTCGAACTCGAGAATCGAGCTCTTTATGCTGGAGCATCTTCTTCCGGTACTCCGTCACCGCACCACGGCGACGAACCGCATCTTCTCCCTCACTCGTCATTGAAAAATGGTTGCCGGTGGAGCTGTGAGCTGATCGATCTATTCGCTTGTCGTCCAAGGGAACTATTGCATTTTGCTAAATGTGCGATCCCTTTTATATATACATACATAAAGATCATTGAGCCCATATTCAAAGCCCAATTTAATAATCAAATCAGTTGTTTTCCAAATGCTGAATGGTTAAATGGTTAAAATGTATTAATACAGTGTGCAATAAAATATAATTGTTCGGTAATTGTTTACAATGGAATTAGGGTGATGAATGGTTATGGGAGGTATATAATACAAAATTGGATTTTAGAACTATTAAGATGCAGACTTTTTTTTGTCAAACAAGATTCACCTCTTAACGATTCAGATGTTGCCTCTTAATGAAACTATTAAGAGGTAAACAAACAACCCTGTAATCTTGTAATGTAGACTATAGTTCAAATTTTAGGCCTTAGCAACTACCAATAAAATGTACATGTCTCGATTTTTATACATATTTGTACTCAGTTGAAAATGAAATGAAAGTTATAATGAGAATAGTAAAAAATAATCTCTACTTTTATATCAATTCTAATTGAAGATCAACATTAATACGATGCACCGAAATACTATGGATCAATTTTCGTGATAAGCACAATTCATGGGTAGGGGTGAGATTAAAAGTGGTCAAGGGTTCACATCTTTTCTCGTGTTTCTCACCTTAACTCTTATTCTCACACGATCATTCGTCTAGATAGGGAGCGGTTCAAATAAAAAGACTAAAATATTGTGAGAAGATGGTAATGAAAGGTTTATATGTGAATATATCGGGAAAAACGAAAAAAAAACTATTTGAAGATACGAATGCAAACCGACAATACAAATTATTCATACGGGTTCTTTAACGTGAACCGTTCACGTGTTTATCTTCAAATGGATTATTTTGATGATTCATACATGAACCTTATTAACCTTTCATTTTAATTTCTCGCGATATGTAGAGATCGTTTACAAACACTTACCAAGTAAGCACTTATCGGCAAAAGTCACCATTCTCAATTATCTTATCCACTTATCGGGTAACATTTTTGACCATCAAAATATATTATTGGTAAACATCGTTTACCCGATAAACGTTTACCAAATTAAGAATCTTCTCCGTCAATTAATAGACATCATGTTTTTGTTTTTAGACTAACAGATAACTCTAATTTAGAATTCAGTGATTTCAAGTCATGATTTGTTTGGCATCTGACCAAAGTAGACTGTTTTGTACTTAGGATTTATTTTGGATATTTTTCAGTTTTGTTTTTTCGATATGGTACAGTTCAAACATGATGAACAATATAATTACGGGAGTGTAACTATACTAGTAATAATAATAATAATAATAATAAAGCAGTTTGAAAATACAATTTACGCTTGTTCATATCAACCAAATTCCATTTGAAGTTTCGGCCATTGAGGGGCATTTCAAAATGCCATGTTTACACAGTTTACAATTCTCGACAGTTGATAAAACCTTCCAATACGTTGCTCAAACAGAAAATAAGGAGGGACTTAGAGGACACAATTTCCTTTCTCAGTCTCGTTCTTTGTGAACATGATAGTTAGTAGTGCAGTAGCATGATAGGTATGCCTTATTTTCGTATCTAGCTTACTGGTATGATTATACATGTAACATTTATAATGGAAAACATGAAAAATGACACCAGATATTGTAGTAATATTGTAATATCTTGACCTGCCTTCTTTCATAAGTGGTTGCTGTAATATATGGCATGCATTGTGGACATGGTTCTTGGTGATACGAGCTGCATGAATCGCTTATGCTATCATACTGTTGACGAAGCCTTCTAACAACAAAACATACCTCTCCAAAATAAATACAACAGTTTCCTTTTTCTATACATCTGTAAGAAATCAGTTGTATGGCTTATCATACACGACACCTTTAACGTATATAGGCACTGGCTTCTTGTGGTTTTCTCATCTGTCCTCATTGATATGATCGTATTTTTTTCCGTGATGCAATACCGCCATCCTTTTCACTTTAAAAAACATGATAATTATCTTGTGTTTTTTAACATTCTATATTCTATTTGTGACGACAAGATCAAGACGATTCAAAAGATATCTTACCTCAATGATACACAAATCTAATGGAAGGTGTACATTCTTTCAAGTTTATGTCGTTCAATTTACATTCCGATTTTCAAGTGTCTTATGAGTTGCTTTCTGATTCTTGTTTGATCTTATCCACAAATAATTACTTTTATAATAGTAGTGCTGTCTGTTGGGTCATTAATCAGCATCTTCCTAAATCGAAACGTGACGTTGACTGCTACGTTATAAGAAAATAAGTTGCGTCTTCTCCACCAGCAATTGCTTTTGGCGTGGTGGTAAGCGTTTGGATCCTAACATGTGGTATCAGAGCAGGTCACGAGTTTGAATCCCATGGAGTGCATAATAATGCCAAAGGCATGCTGGGGGGGGGGTTGTTGGGACATTAACCAGCATCTTCCTAAATCGAAACGTGATGCTACCTGCTATGCTATAAGAAAATTAGTTGCTCCTTCTCCACCAGCAATTGCTTTTGGCGTAGTGGTAGGCGCTTGGATCATAACACTATGAAACGTTTAATACAGGTACAACCTAGGATTTCCGGTTATCATTTGGATATTCCAATACTCAATTCGTGATATACAAGATAACAAGGAGATAATTAATGCTTTCGGAAAGCGAATTATAAGAGATCCAAGTGATGTATCTACTCATATTGACCAAGGAACCCTCAAAACTGGCATAAAATTCTATGCTTTATTATAAAACATTTATGTACAGAATCTTTAAAACAACCTATTAAACATTAGGTACTGGTTAATAATGTGTAGTTCATAAATTTCAAGTACACCAGTAATTACCACACACATACAATTTTTTTAAAAACTATTCAGACACCATAAAATTAACTGATAACAAATTGATAAACAGATTCAACAACAAAATAATCATAAAACTGTAACAAAATACTCTCTCATTATCTTCATAAACACTCAATCATTACCTAAAATAAATTACATTTTCATTTTTAAATCCTAAGTATTTGACCAATATATGGAATTTTAAATTATACATAAAATGAAATTTTAATATTTAATCTAACATCAACACCAGTACACTTTTTTTTATCGAACTTCTTTCACCAAATATTCAAATTACCAAGACATAATCAGCCACTACTAAATTTCTATTTTATTGACTCCAACATGTAGCTAAGGGGTTGTTTGTTTGTCTCTTAATAGTTCCATTAAGAGGCAACATCTGAACTGTTAAAAGATGAATCTTGTTTGACAAAAAAAAGTCTACCTCTTAATGGTTCTAAAACCCTCTGTATGATTTTGTATCATGAATCTCCCTGAATCATTAAGAGCCCTAATTTCATCGTACACAATTACCAAACAATTATATTTCATTTTGCACTATATCATGAGAGTCTCTTAATCATTCTGACCACTTAATCATGCTGCACCAAATCATTCAACAATTGCCAAACAACCCCTAAGTTGACAAATGAGTGATGTGACTTTGCACAAATACAAAACAAATCCTGGTTCGATCCATGTCTACTAGCTAACCTCATCGAGTCGGCTAAAAAATACCCCTCACACTGGTCTCTATAAAAGCAGGTTCCCTATGATACCAGTTGCGGTTATTGGTAATCAATTTTTTTTCCTTCCCAAATTTCTATTTTATTTAAACATAAATTTAGGGGTGTTTGAGATTGTTTATTGACTTATTCCAGTATGGTATCGGTAATAAACAGTTTTTAATGTTTGGATTAAGTAGGAAAAAAAATGGTTATACCGGTGTCAAATCGGTAATATGAAGTTTTTGATAAATTACTATATTCTAACTTATTAAATTCAACTTATTAGGTTTGCAAAACCAATTTACCTTTTTAACTCTAACCAGTTTCTCCTTCCTCACGTACACAGTTCACGACCTTCACCTCCAAAAATCGAAATCGACCATCAAGTACAAGAAATCAACCTTCACCTACATAAATCGAAATCGACCTTCACCTACATAAATGAAAATCGCCCTACATAAATCGAAATCATACGATGCGAGGAACCAAGTCACACATCAGGGGCTGAATCACCATGTTGAAAGAGTAAGTGGTTAAGGTTTTCTCTCTAACGAAAGGTATATCATATAATCCAAGTGAACTTTTTTTCCTTCCTGATTAACCTGGATATCCAACCCGTTATGCGAACTGACTAATCCCAGGACGACCACCTGCTTTGCAGATAGTCCGGAGTCACCGCATTTGAACCTCCGTGGCCACAAGAAGATTTTTGTTCCTCCTTGGATTTGAACCCAGGACCTCCTGGTACTTTTGACATTTGGAGCAAAGCTTAAACCAATTAGACACCACCCTTGTGGTTTAATCCAGGTGAACTTGATGCTTTCTTCCGGAGGTTTTCCATTTAGGTTGAGAAGCCTACTCACGGAAATGCTTTCATGAATATGCAATATAGAGATGAACATCGGAGATGAAAGGAAAAAGATGAACTTGATGGTTTTCCGGTGTTTTTTTTAATTGATTGGGAATACATGATTTACTGAAAAATGTTCTTTTTGGTCATTTTATATATATAAACAAAATTCACGAAATACTAAAAAATATCTTATCAGCTTATTACATTTTGATACTGTCATAAACTAATTCAAACATTTTTTATAAAACTCCAGGTTTAAAAATATTTTAAACAAGGAATATGAAACGCCCCTTTAGAATTTAAAAAAAATAAATAAATCACATTAAAATTTTAAATTAAATTATGTATCCATCATTTAATTGTATATGTAACCTAAATTTTCTACGGATTAACAAAAAAACCCAGCAAACTCTCTGGTAAGAGGCTCGCCGGAGGTTTATACGCTACTTCAGTCCCTCTCAATATATGCTCTTTTTCCTCACTAAACCCTTCGATTTATCAGATACAATCGTTTTACAGACCAGGGTGTCCCGCTGAATCAACAATGTAAGTCATCCCTGTGCTCAATTTGTTGAGTTTTGCTATATATTTGTTTAGGGTTTTTACAGTCAAGTTTGTGCTGTCTTGTTTAAATACGATGAATGAGTGATTCTTGTGAGTTTCTCTGTGGCCAATTTTATGAAAATGCATGTGATTCGCTCCATCATATGATTTTCCCCTTTTTGTTGTAGTTGATGGACGTCGAAGACCTGATGAACACGCATTATAGCACGATTTCTACACCCTCTGGTACGATTTCTATCTGAACATGTACGTAGATATGAATAGTTATGTATTTGCTTTGTTAAGTTTTTTTTTGATGATCCCGCAGTTGAACCTAAGGGGTTGATTGATCATCATTGTGGTATCTGTTTTTATTTTACAAAATTTTGTAACCTAAAAGAGTTGCGTGAGTCATATCTAAAGCCAAAATACAAAAAACCCTAGGTAGTGAATTGTACCTGATCTATTTCATTAGTGGCATTATTCAAATGAAGTGTACTTTTGATAGGTAGATTTCTAGGATTCCTGATCTTCGATCATGATCTTCTGGTATAGTCTATTTTGTAATCGTAGCAAACAACTTATAATCGTGCCAAGCAACAACAGTGGCCAAACCGGCCATTCACATATGGGGAGAACTTCAGGGATTTAGTGCCCTAACTTTCAATTTATAGGAACAATTTAAGAGTAATACACACCTTATATGAGATTGTTGAGTGGTGAGTGATGAGAATGGATAGAACAATGGCAAAGGAGAGAATCGAGGGATGAGAGAAAATATAGATTTTTTAGGCATATAATCTTAATTGAGATTTTAATTAAATCCATGACCTTCTCATTAGTATAAACCCATTTTTTCTTATCTAGCCAGGAGGTCATGAATTTAATTAAAAACTCATTTAAGGTCATTTACCTAAATGACTCGAGAAAATACACAGAGGCTGTTGAAAAATTAAACCCTACATATTGTTTTGTATTTCTTCTAATAGGTATTTAATACAAAAAATGTAGAGAAGCTGTTTCAAACATAAACCTCATTTATCTCCAAAGTCAATCCTATGCTTTTGAAGAAATCCCTTTACAAAATTTTGAAAACCTCAAAATTAGATTACAAACCAAGCTGTATGTTTTCAATTCCGTAGATCTGTTTAGACTTTCTAGAAAACAGAAATATTGCCTATCAACGTTCTGTTCATTTTTGTCTGTTTAGACATTATAGAAAACAGAAATGTTGCCTATCACCGTTCTCTTCATTTTCTTTCTTGAAAACCTCAATCAATGGAAGATGGAATTTTTAATCGTTGCCAGACGAGATGCAAATGTTTGGGCTAGAAAGAAGACTAGAAGAGTGCTCCCTTCATCTGTCAGGTGTGATCAGTTGACGTATATTACAAACTTTGGCTGTTGGGTATTGTGATTAATGACCATTTTGTACAAGAAATCATAAAGATGCCATGATCAGTTTTAGTAGTAATGAGAAGGCCTCTTGTATTGTGGTGATCACAGTATTTGTAGAGACATTGGTAGCAGCAAACAATTGGTCAAGCTTGTGTTGTTAAATTTACATGGCTGTTAATAAATTTGTTGGGTAGCTGCGTCTTATATTGTTGGTTTCAAAGTTTTAGTGATTCTGTGAGTACCATGTCTTTTACAACTATACTTCTACATATAATCATGTTCTAATAAAGATGTTTATCCCCAACATATTGTGTGCTTTGATTTAATTTATATGTAGTCCCTTTTATCATATCAACTTTTCATTTGGGTGAATTCTTTTTTCGGGATGACAAGAAGTAGGAAGGATGCATGACCTATGGTCTAACTTCTACCTATCCCACTTGATGCAATCAATTACAAAACTAAAAGCTTTTTTGGGACTTCTATATTCATACTCACATATGTACATATTTGTGACACTTTGATTTTGATAAAACTTGCATTGATGATGGTTTATTGCATTTCTCCACCTATTTTTTTTATTATTTCCTATGATTTTTTTGTCAATTCTTTCCCGTGTTCAACTATTGAATCATATTCTAACTCTATTTTGTCTATTTTACATATTATTTAGGTGCATCGTTTGACTGCTGTCTAGAGCAGAATTTCTCACTATTTGCGGTTTGTGTTTGTATGTTTGTTCCAGAAACAGTTAATGGTCAAATGAACAACAGTGAAGAAAGTGTATCTCCGAGGCCACTGTACACTGCATACACATTGGATGCGAACAAGCCGATGAAAACTGTTGATCATTCAGATCCGTTTACTATTAGAAACTGGGTGGAAGAGATTGATTCAGCTAAATATGGGTCTGTAACAAAAGACATTGAAGATCTTCTTTTGCTAAGAAAACAAATGTTGATGCCTTGTTTTAAGAGGTTTCCATCACTTAGGGCTGATTTGATGGATGTGAATTCTGTGAAGGAAGCATCCACTGCAAATCCTACGAGGGATATAGTTATGGTAGATAATGACATGGGTCATGATACAATTGCACCTGATTCTGTTGTCATCATTGGCTCAGATGATGATGAGCCAACATATGGGAGGCCTTTTCAACCATATCGAGACATAGTTTTAAGTAAGCCTGAAGGGCAGTTTTTAATGAAACAATTTTTGGTAAGCTCTCCTAACTTTTTTGTGATTTTCAGTGAAGCTCTGGTGTAACCTTTCATGCCTTCCTTGTCTTTGTGATGCAAACTATTATGGATCAAAAAGTATTACTTGCTTACTGGTTTGCATAATATTTTCCTATATCTTAAGATTGAGTGAGATGGTTGGGCCACCAAACTGACTGAACCGAAAAGGTTGCCTGTCAACTTGAAACTTGTCCATGTTATATATTAAATAAGATACACTAGCATGCATGTGAGGGTTGATCATGTAGCGCTTTTTGGTGTTCATAATTATACTTCTACCGCCAGACAGTGGCTACAAATCCTTAGATAGTAGCAAGTTGTCCATATCCCGGAATAGACATATGATCATTTCTAGTGCCAAAATAGTTTGCCGATGGTATTTTGGAGCCTGCATTATTTTTGATGAAGTTAATTTTAATTAATTATAAAGAACATGTACTTCTGTTGCCATAATTTGGTTCCAACTATTTGGCACCAGAACTTGCTTGCTGGGAAACTGTGCAGTTCTCTGAAGGATCTTACTGAGTATGAATCAATGGCTTGCAGAGTGAGCTTGTTCTCCATTTAATGAGAAACAGACTACTGAGAATAATAATGTCAAGAAAATTATAGTTAGAACCATAATGTTTGTCTTCATGCACCATGCTCTCCACCAAATACGTCAATTGATTTAGGTCAGTACATATATTGCATCATGTGGTGTTGGTGATGTAAAGGAAGATAGATAGCACTACTTGTGGTTATGCAATCTCAAACCTGCATTCTGTTACTTTATCCTATTATAGTTGTAATGAGAAGGCAAGACCCATGCCACAGATATGAAACTTGAATTGAATGTCACCACATACTTTGTTATTTTTATTTGCACATCTTATTCGTTGGCCAACCTATTTTTGTGGGTGCAACATGTTTTAAACCTTTCTACGGGATGTTATGACTAAGAAAACACGGTTAACAGTCATGTATTGTATGTTAACCATTCAATTTGAGTTTTGGAAATTATAGTGGTACTTTTGTTTCCTTCAAAATTTTCCATAGTTCGAAACTACGAAATTTGAATCACTTGACGTGATACTATTCAATTTCTTTATATTTTCAGTCATTGTACAAATTATGTTCACCATATTTATAGTCCATAAAAGATGATTTTTATTAAAATTATAGAATGCACTGGTCCGCATATCTCTTAGTTTGTTGAATAGGTGACATAGAATTCTGATTTAAATTAATGTGTTCCGTATATCTGATGTTTGGTTTTATCACCTTTCAGGAAGGAGATTATTCCCCAGGCCAATCTTCAGCTGGGAAAGGAGGGAAAGGGAGAGGGGGTGGTGGAGGTGGAGCTGGAGGTGGGGGTGGGGGTGGGAAAGGGAGAGGAAGAGGGAGACCAAAAGGACCAAGAGGAGGAGAAGGTGTAGAAGGAGGGCATACAAATGCTGTTGAATCCAAAGATGGAGAGCATACAAATGCTGTTGATTCCAAAGATAGAGAAGACAAGAATGTCGGTTCTGATGTAGAGGTTGATAGGAAGCATGATAAAGGTGAGTATGTCGGTGTTGAATCTGATTCAGATATGGAGGAAAGTGATTCACAATCTGACGTCAACTTCGATGGGTTGGCTGATATATGGAAAGAAATGAATGTTGGATTAGAGTCCTCAAAGGTACATGAATTCTTTGTTTGTTATCTGCATGCTCACATACCAAAGCAACCAAGGAGTTCATGAAATTCAAAGATAATATATTTGGGATACATTATGCAAAAGTGAAAGACTGAGAAAAATGCTTGAAGAAAGGTTCAATTTATTAATATATTTTTAGAAATTACTCCTTAATTATTTTATGTCTGTAAACATCCTTTGAAGTTATGAACTGCTGTTCCTCAATCTCATATGGATTCGACATACCATTGCTTTACCTAGATCTCCTAAGTAGCCCCTTGGAATGTGACATGTTCTTAGCATGAGAATTTAGTAAACCCTTTTAGCCTTTGAAAAAATTATTTTGAAGCAAGACCATGGAACTTCCTTGATACATTAATGCATTCAAAGTTGCTTTTGATTTGTACGGTTGTACCTTCAATGTTCCTGCTTAAAAGAATTCATAAAGATATGTACTACCTTATGAAGATTTTTGGTCATTTAATCTAATACAACCTCACATCCCTCCTCCCAAACAATTGTTACTCCCAAAGTTTGACCTTGATGCATCCGTGTAACTGAAGTTGTTATCAAAGATACTGGATATGATTACTCGGACAGAGTTGAGGGTATTGCACCATTAACTTCTTGCTTATCATGACCTCCATGGATTTGAAATTGATGTTGGTTTGATAGAGATGCATATACTCTCAGAAATAGTGCCCCGGTTTAAGTTTACAGGTGGCGGACTTTATCAGGTTATATAAGAGCATACAAGTGGAGTACCATAGATCTTTTGCTAGATTTGTGATACATTCAAAAGCAACAACCAACCTTTTCCATGGTATGGGTTGCAAGTGGTTAGATTTGCTGCACGCCTTGTCTATCCTACAATAATGAATCCATTTAGTATTCTGACTTGATGTTTTACTGAAATAGTGACTTAAGAAAGATCTATTTCCCACCTAATGCTTTATCTTTCTCAAAGTTACTTATGGTCTTTGTCAGGATGCTGCTATGGACATTTCATCTAACGAACATGTGAGAGAAGATGGAGAAGAATGCGATCATTCTTTTATATTGAAGGAAGATATTGGTTATGTTTGTCGTGTTTGTGGAGTAGTTGAAAGGAGTATTGAGTCCATAATTGAGTTTCAGCGTCCCAAGGTCAGGTTTCTTCTTTTATTATTGATTCGCATCTTTCTTCATGAAGCATTTCTGCATTGCTAATTTTGCGATGGATGTGCTTTAAGTTAAATTTTGTTAAGCAAGTAGCAAGAGTCTTTCTTAGTAAGTTCTTTTTCTTTTTGTGTTTTGAGCGGAACGTGTACCCTCTTATCTAGGATATCAATCATGCTCAATCCTGTTGAATTGAATTTTAGTGTTTTGCTTCCTTGTTCTTGCATTTCTCCCTTTGACATATAACACACACGCATATTAGTCCTGTATCTTCTAAGTGGATGTACTGATAATGTTTGATATACCGAAATTAGTTTTATTGATCTATCTATAAAGTTTATTTGATATCTTGGGTACTTATTTCTTTCCTGGGTAAATGATATGCATGCCTCTGTTAACAAATAACATGGCATGTTACTTTCTCGTAGTTAAGTGTCGCATATCTTTTTAATGTGAATATTTAGTTATTTCTTACATGGATCAAACAATTTATCATATTTTATTATTGTATTTTATGTTTTGTGAATCTTTCATCACTAGTTAATGTATATTGCTTTCATTTCAGAGCTCAAAGAGTACGAGAACTTACTGGCATGAAAGCCGATCTGATAGATCAGGGGAGGCAGCTGGTCCTGTTCTTGATGGAGTGAAATTACCAGGAAAGGACTTCTCTGTGGGTGACATATCTGCTCATCCAAGGCATAAAAAGCAAATGAAACCCCATCAAGTTGAGGGCTTCAATTTTCTGCTCAGTAACTTGGTTTCTGAGAATCCAGGTGGTTGCATCCTGGCTCATGCTCCTGGGTCTGGAAAGACATTTATGCTCATCAGTTTCATCCAGAGTTTTATGGCCAAGTATCCAGATGCTAGACCGTTGGTGGTACTACCCAGAGGTATCCTGGCGACATGGAAGAAAGAATTCAATAGATGGCAAGTCGAAGACATACCATTGTTTGACTTCTACTCGTTAAAGGCTGATAGCAGGGCTCAACAATTTGAGGTGCTCAAACAGTGGGCCAACTTGAGGAGCATTCTGTTTCTTGGATACAAGCAGTTCTCGTCAATAGTATGCGACAATGATAGGAGCTCCACTGCAGCCAGTTGCCAGGAGATACTGTTGACATATCCTTCGATTTTGATATTAGATGAAGGGCACACCCCAAGAAACCAAGACACTGATGTTTTGACCTCTCTTGAGAAGGTCCAGACACCGAGGAAGGTGGTTCTTTCGGGAACTCTCTACCAAAATCACGTGAGGGAGGTGTTCAACATTCTGAACCTTGTTCGTCCAAAGTTTTTAAGAATGGAGAATTCTAAAATGATAAAGAGACGTATCTTGAGTAGAGTACCAATAGAAAGCCGGAGAAACCTCTTCAAGAAGAGCACAGACAATGAGTTCTATGAGTTGGTAGAGCATACATTACTCAAAGATGAGAATTTCAAGAGGAAGGTAATGGTCATTGAAGATCTACGTGAGATGACAAGCAAAGTTCTTCACTACTACAAAGGGGATTTCTTGGATGAACTACCAGGGCATGTGGACTTCTCAGTCTTCCTGAACCTTAGTCCTAGGCAAAAGCGGGAAGTTTCGGAGTTGAGAAAGTTAGCAAGGAAATTTAAAATAAGCTCTGATGGTAGTGCGATTTATGTGCACCCGGAACTGAAGTCTCTTGCAAAAACTGGCACCAAAGAGAGAGGTGATGATAATGTAAACAAGATCGATGAACTCTTGGAGAGATTGGATGAGAGAGATGGAGTGAAGGCAAAGTTTTTTCTCAATCTACTTCGCCTATGTGAGTCCAGTGGGGAAAAACTTCTAGTTTTCGGTCAGTATCTGTTGCCCTTAAAATTTTTGCTCAGATTGACAGTGAAGGTCAAGGGCTGGAGCCTCGGCAAGGAAATTTTCATGATAACTGGAGATCATGACAATGACGAGCGAGAGGTAGCAATGGACCTATTCAACAACTCTCCTGATGCCAAAGTCTTCTTTGGATCGATCAAGGCTTGTGGGGAGGGCATATCACTAGTTGGGGCCTCCAGAATTATAATATTGGATGTGCATCTAAACCCTTCTGTTACCCGCCAAGCAATAGGTCGTGCATTTCGACCAGGGCAAGAAAGGAAGGTATACACTTATCGGTTAATTGCTGCCGCTTCCCCTGAAGAGGAAGATCATACTACTTGCTTCAAGAAAGAGTCAATCGCAAAAATGTGGTTTGAGTGGAATGAATACTGTGGCCATCATGAGTTTGAAATGGAGACAACTGACGTCAAGGAATGTGGTGATCAATTTCTAGAAACTACATGGTTGAATGAAGACGTAGCTGCATTATATAAACGGTTAGTAAAATTACTTTTAAGAGCAATGTTGATGTTCACAAGTGTGACCTAGCATCTGATTCTGATTTCTTGCGACTGCGCAGATCATGATGGGCGATGAGGCAAGCTATGTCAATATTTCTCTACATCAAAAGCCATATATGTGGTTGGAATGACCTTAGGTAAAAGTATTTTTTACCATCAACTTGTAGTTAAAACAGTGATGGTAATCAAGACGTCATATTCTTATACTGGAAGCTGATCTTTTTTTTTGCTTTTACATCTCATCTCATTAGTATGCTATGTATTTAGTACGTACAAAACGTTCTTCTTTTCCTTGGTAAATGTATGACGTCTGCTTGTATAGCTGCTAATTCTGAAAATCACGGTGCATATATGTTTTTGGCAAACATCTCGCCTTTGTCTTTTGCCTTTTTCTCTGTTGACAAGAAGTTGAAATGGGAGTATGGGACTGCATACTGTAACTCATTTTTTTTGGGCAACTGTGAGTTTCCGGGCCAGCTTACGTGCACCGACTAATCCCCCGGGCCACCATGAGGACTGGAGTCATCGCAGGTGAATCTCCACGGTCACAGGGGCTTTGGCAGCACCTGGATTCGAACCCGGGGTAGATGAGATTTTCCACTACACATCTACATCCCCTCGAGTCTTAACCAGTGCGCCACAACCCAAGTGGTTATACTATAACTCATTTTGTTGAATGTATGCATTGTAAATTCACAAGTTTTGTATTTGATGACAATTTTACAATGAAGGTGGAACTTTCAGAATTGCTGAAGATGAATTGTATAGATACTCGTTTTGAGATACTGATGTTGCTGACTCATCATATAATGTTGAGATGCAATATATGTAACTTTCTCCACTCTCTACTCTCTACAGGTAACATTCTATCACATTGTATGCATAATATTCTGTGTAATTAACGATCAGATGGCCTAGTTAGCTTTTAGGTGTTGCAAGAATGAGAGGTTTTGAGCAAAAATTGTCGATCACCTTGCATCTTTTCTATTTTATTTCTACAATTTATTGAAAATCTCTCATTCTTGCAGAATATAATTTGTTTCCTTATATTTTGATGAGCATCATAGTTTGTAACAAAAACCCAAAATATATTAGGTTCAAAATGCCAATCCCTGAATGAGATTTCACTTGGGCCCAGGAGTCTAGTTTAGATGAGTTTGTGCTACATAAACAACAAAGTAGAGGAGATTTTACATCTTCCCCATCTTTGAATCTTTACATGACTTGAAATGTCAACCAATTCTCGGCCATCAAATGGTAAGATTTGGTTTATGTAGAAGTAGAATCTACATTATTAATGTATTCCCAAGGTTACCGAAAAAAAATATATGCATCTTATCTTTACAATTATACATATAGTTTGTGCTCCACACTACTTGATAATAGATCAAGAATTTTAACAAAATGGTCATTTGCATAAAGCCACCATTCTTCTCTCATGCTACAAAATCATGTAGCAAGTGAGAAGAGCCAAACCTTTGTTGTCGGTTACTTGAATCCACACAATCGAAATCGATTGTCTCTGCCTCCACCGATGAGCCTGTGGCAGTGTCATACACACCACGACCACCACTACCACCTCCGCCACCTCCGCCACCTCTTACATCAACAAAACTGTGATTATGGCTTCCAATAGAAGCCATTGGTGGTAAGCTACCATCTTCACAGTTTTGTAAGCCTAGTGTAAGTGACACCCCACCTCCATTCCGATTTCCAAATCTTCGCTGCATCTGATATGCCGCCACAAGCCTCTCACGTTCACCTCTGTTAGACTGAAGCATCATGTTTTGGAAATCTGAGTCAGTGCTGGTTCCTACCATTTCAGTGTTGTGAGCTTGATTAAATGATTTTGAGTCGAATGCAGAAGAGGCTGCAGTACTCTGGTTCTTATCTTCTCCTTGATCAGCTGAAGTCTTTCTATTGCCTTCTGTGTCTTTGGGTGCCATTTCTGATGAAGAATTTGACTCCATTTCAGCATCTCCAGCTTCCTCTTTGTACATTTCTTCCACCATTGGCTTCCATAGACGAACTCGTGCATTTATGAACCAGTTTGAGACCTGCCCATTACACCTTCCATCAATTCCAGTACAAAACAATGGAATTGGAATCCCAATTCCTAAATTTTGAAACCTTGCTACAATGGGAGTATCTGTTGAACTGAAACATATCTCATTTAAGGGTGCTTTTGGTATGCAGGACATACTGGGAGAGGACATGACTGAGTGGGACCAAAGTAGGTGGAACAAAACCAGGAAGATGAGACAAGATAAACTACCCATGTCAAATTAAAACCCTAAAACCTTGCACAATTTTTTTACCAGCCTACCTCTCTCTTTCTCATCCTGTCCAATCTGTGTACCAAACACACCCTTAGAGATTTATAAGTATGATAATTTACCTGACTTCTGGTCAAGCCTGTTTGTCTTGCTAGCATGATCTTGTCAGAATCTTTAGGATATCTGAAAAAAGAGAAGCAAATGGTTGATAACTAAAAGACCCAACTACATTATGTTCAGGAACTTCCATTCAGTGGTCTGGAATTGGAATTAGAACAGTTGGATGAGTTTTGATTCCATTCCCAGACCTTTTATGTCATGAAACCATGCAAGATTATCTTGGATTACAAGAAGGTAATTAGTGATTACGGGTGCAGAAAATGCTCAAACAACCAAGCACGAAGAATCGACACAGAGTTTTCAGGAAGCCCTCTTTGTGGTCTCCAAGTATGTTGTTGCATCATACCGATCTGCTGAAGAGCTCGCTGTTGCTTGAGCTGCTGATCCACAAACCGAAGCCTGGAAATCCCAACTCCTTTTCCGTTTGTGGTGGAATCAGTCTCACCAAGACTTCTCTGAGCCTCTTTTATTTGGCCGTTTATTGCGTCTCTCAAGCAGCGGAAATGGCGTGAAATCGTTTGGAGAGCAAGCGCTGTGTACGGCTTAGCAGTCCCGCATCCGGCAATCACGTCGAATGCCGATACAACAATCTGCATTTGATGGTAGTACTGTTTGTACCTTCTATCAACCTGTCCATATAAAGTATGCTTCAGCTTTCTTGAATGCATTCCTTGAAAGCGATTGGTACAAGTTGACTTTCAAAGTCAAACTTACAAAATTTAAATTTGGATTAATCAGTTTTTCAAATTTTTAAGGAGAAATGTTGATTAAGCAAACACTTGTTTTAGGATAAAAAAAAAAAAATGTGACTTTTTTTAATAAGACTCACCTCATCTAGCATAGAGATCAACTTCGTCATCTTGTTTTGAAAATCTTGTTTTTCTGCAGCCGAGAATTCGTTCGATTCTTGTTGATTTACGTTCTTCGATTCACCATCGACCCCTTTTGAATCATCCGTGGATTCTTTCCTAGAATTATGTTGTTTGAGAGCTTTACCAACATTAACGATCTCATCAAGCAGTTGTTGTGCTGCTTTTAGGTACTTGGAATCAGAAATCGCCCTTGAAACGTTCCCGATTCCATAGGGAGAAACATCCTTACTGCTATTTTCGACCACGGAATCAGGACTTAGAAACGAAGAGAAACCCAGGTTGGGATTCTGGTAATCACTGGAATGGAACTGGATTCCGGGATGGGAACCAAGACTCAGTGATAGTCCCTTCCCCTGACCTTGCCCTTGCAAATTCCGACTACCCATTTGATCCATTAACACCATTTCATGATTCCGACCATCTCTCCATGGCTCCCCCATGCTCGAGAGGAATTCTTGATGCGAGACAACACTGGAATCATGAACTCCGACGTTGGGAATGTCAATGCAGGTGTTGTGAGGCTGCTGGGAATTTCTGGTCAGTGAACCTGAAAACTCTCCGGCTGAAGCTGATGAAAAATTCATATACATCATCACATTTCCGGCGAGAATTGGTGATTCCGACGAGTATGAATCTTGTAGAGGCTCTCTTAAGTATAGCATTGGAGCTGAATGTCTTCCATTTTCTGAATTTGGTATGTAACTTGACATTTCTTCAAATCTTTTATATTCAATTTTCTGCAAGAAATTGAAGTGGTAATTAGAAAAAAAATTAATCTCAAACAATTCAAAGTCATTTTATGGGCTGTTTGGCAATTGTTGAATCGTTTTATGCAGAATCATTAAGTGGTCAGAATGATTAAGAGACTTTTAATCTCTCGTGATATTGTACAAAATGAAATATAATTGTTTGGTAATTGTTTACAATGAAATTATGGCTATTAATGGTTAAGGAAGGTCCATGATACAAAATTATTCAGAGGGTTTTAGAACATTAAGAGACATACATTTTTTTGCCAAACAAAATTCACCTCTTAACGATTCAGAGATTGTCTTTTAATGGAACTATTAACAGGTAAACAAACAGCCTATAATTAATCCTAGAAATACTACAAATCATATGAAACGATATGAATTTTGGATAAATAACGAGAATATATAATACAAGGGAGTACATGAACATAAATCGTTATAATGCTAAAACAAATTGGCCATTAATATAACAACTTAACAAAACATTAACATGATACTCAAACGATTATAATCCTTACGCAAAATACGTAAAAGAGAACAAACAAAACCCAAGTATGAAACGAAATGTACGAAAAACTCATCGTTTCAGTTTTGTATCAAGTAGTTCATCGTTTTTAAGTGTTTATCCAAGAGAATCGAGTTTTTTGCAACAACAAGAAAACCGATACCAAAGGGCCTTTAGCCCAGCGGTATCGTAGTTTTTGGCCTTCTAGGAGGTCAAAAGGTTCAAGCCTCACCAAAAATGAAGATGGTGGATGAGTTTATTTGTTGTTTTTGCCATATAAAAGTATTATATATATATATATATATATATATATATATCAAACAAGATGAATCTAGTAAATCCCACAAGAGTCTGTACAACATATATAATGGGTTAAAAGCTAATTATAATTATATGATGAAAATGGAAGAAAATATTTTAGATGAAGATGAATGATGAAAATGGTAAAAAAGATTGAATCGTTATGAAACACACACATATATATATGTTATATATATATATATATATATATATAGAGAGAGAGAGAGAGAGAGAGAGAGAAAAGAATTAATGATGAAGAGGAGGACATGATGAACCTAAAACCAACAAGTACCTAAAAATCACATGTTATGCATAAACATAATTCCCTCTTTAATTTCCTGCTACCAAAAAACCTCAATTTGGATTTCAATTTTTCCAAAACATTTCAGTTGTATATTTGGAAATTTAAGTTACAAATAATCCATTTCTTTTCTCCTAAAACTTTGAGCAATCCTGCCAACATGAACCCATATATATATATATATATATATACAGAGATGAAAAAAAAAAAAAAAGTCAAGAGATTAGGAATCGTTAAAAAAATATTACCTGAAATTAAGCCATGGATGTGTGGTTGTGGGGAACAAATAAGCTCATCATCTTCCATGAATTCATGTACACTGATGATCCCAAGACCTGTCTTCTGTATGTATATATATATATATATATATATATATATATATATATCAAAGTCAAAATGACAATGAATTATGGAAGTGGAGTCGACTGCCCCAACTGGCTGAAACTCAGAGAACACAAGTACCCAGCAGCATTGAAAGATAGAGAGAGAAAGAAAGAAGTGGTTTCAGAGATTTTTAATGAAAAAGTTAGTATTTTTATGATTATGATGATGATGTTGTTCTATCATCATATCACTTCATCAATCAATCAAAATATCAATAAAAATCTCAACTTTTTTAAAAACCTTTCATCAATTCCCACGTGTGAACACCTCCTCGATCTTCCTATCTCTCTCTCTCTCTCTATATATATATATACGTGTGTGTATATATATATGTATATGCTTTCTTTTTTCTCTTTCTGTATCTGTCTATATGAAAACCCCAGAAAAATATGAACACCCTTTTGTCAAAAATGCAAAAAGAAGACGTTTATTTCACTTCCCACAAAATCTCTCTCTCTCTCTCTCTCTCTCTCTCTCTCTCTCTCTTCTGTATGTATATGTTTGTAACTATTATCTATTCTTTCTTCAATGGATTTCCCTTTTCTAGCTTTACTCTCTTCAACTCTCACTCTCTCTCTCTCTAAAAGTATATGTTTCTCTCTCTAGAAGAAGGGGGGGGGGGAAGCTAGCTTTTGATGATGATGTGTTTGGTTAAGGAGTATAATCTCTAACAACCAGTTGGTAGACCTAAACAGCTAAACTAAAACCTCCCTTAAACCTCTCTTTCTCTCTCTAGAATTCAACCTCACCTCCATCTCTCTCTCTCTCTCTCTCTCTCTCTAATCTTTAGCATGGAGGATGAAAGGTCTCAGTTGCTGCAAGTTCTACCAGATAACCCTTCTCTTTCTATTTTATTTTTTTATTTATTTTATATTTCCAGAGTTGGAAATTGCTAATCCAGAGTCATGTCTAGATTTTAAGGCATAGTTTACAAGTTAGTATAGCATAAATGGTTTGGAATTAAAGGTTTTAGGTTTGGAAAAGCAACTAGGTTTTCAAAATGGGTTATTATTTTTTAATTTTAGGTGCACCAGTAGGGTGCATACATCACCACATTATTTTTTGTCTTACTGTTTCAACCACTACTTTCTTTCTCCTCTTGAATTTACAATTTGCCCCCCACATTTCTATATGTTTCAAAATTGGTACCCAAGTTTTTGAAAAATCTATCAAGTTTTCCCCATATCTTTATTTGTTTTTAATTTGTACCCTCTTTGATCCAAATCTTGGTTCTTCTAATACATGAAACATGCAATGTTTTTCTTTTGAAGTGTGTCTCACGTTACATCCAGACCAATTTTGATAAATCATGACGGTAAGAAATCAGTCTTAATAAACTCAGTGGTTACAACTGTTGTATACTTCTGAAATCAAACCCTAAACAGATAAGATATTCCATTACATTTCTCAGGACCTCAACCATTTTTGCCACAACCCTTGTGGTTTGAAACATACAATGTTCCATTTAATAAAAAATTTAATAGTTTGATTATTTGTCAAATATTTAAAATGTTTTTACAATACAATAAATATAAGAATCTTATGAATGTAAAAGAAAATACTATATATTATTTGTAAGAGGGATAACAAATACTTATAATGGGTTCCGATAAGAAGGAAAATTACAGTGAAAAACGTAAGAAGATAGCTTCGCCCTTGGATCAATCCTAAGCGTAAGAAGTGCACCGAGATCGGATCAATTTCCCTCTAAAATGCATTTCATGAGTGGACATGAGATTAAAAGTGATCAATGGTTCAGATATCTTCTTACGCTTCTCACTATAACATTCATTTTCATACGATCCTTCACCTACTTATATATATATATATATATA